CCCCAAAACCCCAAAACCCCAAAACCCCAAAACCCCACTTTGTGCAAAAATAATTGAAAATTATCTATATTTTTGAAATAAAATGAGTGACCAGGGCACATCTGGAGCGAAAGAGATATCTATTCAAGACGAGCCAAAGGATAAAAAGAATTCTCGTAAGAAAGGTCGAAGCTTAAATCCTGCATTCAAATCTTGAAGAAGACATATGAATAAATCTGGAATAAATATGACATATTTTCCAGCACTTAAATTGAGCTCACAGTCAAATAATATTGGCATTAGTATCCAAAGCACTTCAAAGAACAAATCTTCAAACAAATTTGGTACAAGAAGTCATGCAAACAGTCCTGAAAACATGTCTTTTACTGCTGGAGAGGAAGAGATTGATTCTGTTCCAATATTACAAAGAAAAATAATTCAGAAAAAGAAGCCAAGAAGGTACAAGAGTAGTAAGTCTATCACCAATTTTTTAGAGAAATAATTCTCCTTTAAGACAATCATCTCTTCTCCCGCCGATACCAGCAGACGTTGTTCCTAAACTTGGTGAGCTAAACTACTTTTCTAAACTGAATAAATAAGGAATATGAACATAAGGTAAAACTTCTCCAAAACAGGATCCAGAAGTTGAAATAAGGAAGAAAAGAAGGCAAATCTTAAAATAAAGCAGACTTCTGAGCGTGCAGAGCAGTATATCAAGACCAGGAATAAGTATTATGAGGAACAGAAGAGAATTATCAGTCATCGCTTACAAGTACAGAAACACACAGTGAGTTCCCAGTGGTAATTTTCAGGAATCAAAACGTAAAGAGATCATCAGGAACAAAGAGAGTAGGAAGAAAAATATGCAAGAATTGAAGCAAAAACTTCTTGAAGAGTCAAAGAAGAGGAGAATTCAGCAGAAATAAAGAAAGGAATAAAGCCTTAAAAGCAAAATGAATAGAACTTGGTACTTTCAGTGTGCTTATATAGATAGAAAAGGAGCATCTTCAAAGGAAGATCGCTAATGCAAAGTTAGTTAAGGAGGAAGAGCAAAAGGTACTCCAGATAAAGTTGCAGCATGAGAATGAGAATCACCTTTCGCTTCAGAATAATTATTACAAAAGGTACATCAAAGATGAGGAGCATACAGAAAGGAACAAGCAGATGATCCATAAACTAGAGCAAACAGAGAGTAAGATATTAGAAAAGCTACAGTCAACAATGGAGAAGCAGGTGACCATGCATAAGACCCTGGAAGAACTAGTTAAAACCGGTAATTCAGAGGGTAATATCAGTCCTAATGTTCAATAAGCTAGCAATTTTAAGGGGTTTTGGGGTTTTGGGGTTTTGGGGTTTTGGGG